CGACCACAGAGAGAGAGAGACACGCAAACTCCAAATATACAGCAGCAGCCGTCGGGGTCGAGATCGAACCCACGAACCTCCTGCACACCAGGCGGTGTAGTTAATTAACAGCGACGAATTGTGAATCATCCACGTATATTTGTGTGACTGTGGCTGAATGAAATGGCACAACGTGTCGGTTATGCAACGGTGTTAACTGGCGTATGTTTACGTTTCTGTAGCCTGTGTAGTTGACAACTTCCGCCCACTTAGCGTTCCCTATATGAAACGGGTCACGCGCTTCGTCTGGGTACGTTGCCAGTCCTGTCATGGTAAAGCGATTTTAACATTTGAGTTTTGTCAAGCTACAGCTGCAGACTAATTGGATAGTCGGCTAAAACTTACTGAGAGTCGATGGTGATTGGGTGGCATGTTTTTCGAGATTTGTAATTACGATCATATTTCGTTTAGATCTTTCGGGCGACAGTGGTAGCTATTTATAAGCGCATACCCACTGAGAACCAGGCCAGCCATGTGCTGACATCTGAAGTAGGTTACTTATTTCTAGATTTCTAATTTACCCCCCGGCAGCATAATCAAAAGGCTGCTTAATCTTAGCTTTCTTATCTACTTCCGCCCCTACATCACAAAGCTTCAGTTTGAACTCCATGCGTTCCCTCCCAGCGCCCTCCCCGTTCCTCACATCGTTGCCTCCCAGTCCACAGCCCGCCCACACACTCACCATGCCCCGCCCCTCCCTCCATGCCCCGCGACTATATAACTTCCTCGTCACAGCCATCTCTTAGACACACTTAAGCGGTTGTGCTTTCGCTACGTTGTCCCCACCTGAAGAAGGACGCTAGTGTTGCGCCCGAAACGTCGTGATTTAATTTAGTTGCTTTAATTTATTTTATTTTTTACCTACGTGACTTTACCGACAAAACCAAAGAGTAGTGTACTTGTGTTGAGGTGCGAACCACGACGCGGAGGCAGGTCTTCTTAAGGGCCGACGCCAAGTTCATTACGGGCTGACGCTTATGTGGGACTGCTATTATATTTCTCCCCAGGGGGGAAGGCTACTGGGAATCCCGAAACCCCACCCCGGCTCACCCGGGCTCTCCCCTCGGCACCGACCGAGGGATCCGCCAACTCGGTCGGCCGGGTGAAGTAGCCACCCTTGCCTGGTGCTAATTCCTCCCTACCCTGGGTCCCAACTTCTACCCTTTCACGTTCCCGGCTTCGACGACGACGACCCCGCTCACGTCACGGGTTTCGGCTTCAATACCCCAGGGGGACATGACGTCGTAACTACCCCTCAACACTTGTTCCAGAAGTTGCCATTTGCCACTCCCTGACCATGTCCTGGTATAAGCACGTGTTGCTTATACGAGGACTGCTGATATGGTGTGCTTATATCCAGCTTCTACTGATTTGTCATTGTTGTAATAGTAATTTCATTTTATTGATCGTCATTCATGCAATTGCATCCCACAACGCTGCACATCAATTATCCAGTTGCGTACACAGATAATACAAAAACAGGAGAATTGGTGGTCACGGAGCCAAACGATTGTACGCATCCAACAGAGGCTGTGCATCGGACGCATTGCTAAAGTTTGCAGATAAAGTTTTTAAAGATAAAGCTCTTGCAGAGATGGTAAGGTGCCCCGTAAACGGATGTAAACTTCTGCGCTTTCGTATGGAGGCCTTCTCCTGGCACGATCTTTTGAAGTGCCATCGCGTAAAAACCAGTGTGCGCCTGTCAAAGAGAAACTGCTTATGCATTCTCTACCCGGGAGCTCTTAAGAATTACAGCACTTCCTCTTTATTCACGTACTCGCTGTCCATTATTCTTGGCTAGCCGCGAATCGCAATCTGGAACTCTGCATGACTGCATCGAGAGAGAGCGAGAGAGAACGTGATGAGAGCTGATAATTTTCATGTATTAAGATCTTATTTACGTATTTAAGGTAATTCATTCAAAAGGCCAATATTATATCAGCAAAATGTCCGATTCGCGAGCATCTCCAGAAGGCATTCCTCCCGAATGACGAGGGAATCCTGCGTGGAACTCGGGTGAGCCGTTTGTGGGTAGATGAAGAGTTATTTGAAGAGTGATTTGTATGCATTGTTCTCATTGTGAAACCCGATTATTGACAACGAACGTGTAACGTTCAAATCATCGCAGCGATTAATCCATCGCAGGCTTCAGATCGCTGTGAAAAAGCATTTACGATCATTGAATAATATCACCCAACGCAGAAGGTGAAGAGATATTTTTAAGCGGTCGGATGAAGCTAACCCAATTACCGTAATTGACAGCATAACATTTGCAGTCAAACAATTTGTTTTCACAACAGTTGAATTGTCCCCGGCATGTCCACATTGGTATTGTGTAACTTCAAATGAGCCCCGTTGCCTCTCATCTCACCGCTTCCATTCGTGTGTGTGTGGGCGGCGGTGTAGCGGTTAGTGTGCTGTGCTACGAACCCAGCGACCCGAGTTCGATTCCCTCTCATGGCGAACACCGGTGACGATTATCAGAACCGGTCCAGGGCCTCCCCTAGGTCGAGACAGCCTAAGATGAGTACCTGGTGCGGTGTGTAAACATTGCCACTAGGGAGACAAATGCGGGCGGGCATGGTGCTGGCCACCCACCCCCTCGTGTGCCGTGCCGGCCTTCATAGGTGCTCGCTAACAGCACTTGCCCCAACAGTCTGTTAAGGCTACACGGGGGGGATCTTTTTGTCTTTGGGGCCAGACCTTGAGCGCAACCATAATGGGCTTGGCAAAAGGACAACCCCCGCCCCCCTCCACCGCCTGACCCGTTTTTCAAAAGCGGCTTACAGTAATAAGGTTACGTGCATAAGTTCGGATTAATCTGGCTGATAAAGAAACCCCCTGTCTGTCTCTCTCTCTCTCCCCTTTCGCTCTACGGAGACAATTCTGCAGGTTCAGTCATCATCCCACTTTTCCCCTCCCCCCCCCCCCAAAAAAAATTTGCTGGGTCACGGCATTTGAAATGTCACGTTACCAATTAGGGGTAGATGCCGTTGGGGTTTGTCGCTTTTTCCGCGTGCGGCATCGGGGACCCGCCTGGTCCCTTTTTGTTTGTCGGACCGTTGAGGATGACAGGAGGCCCGAGACGCCTGCCCGTGACCCCGCGTCATCGTTAGCAATGGGGGATGCGCGAGTCGGTCACCCATTGATACACAGTAGACTCGATTGTCCGGGTGCGGTTTATCCAATTTGCGGGTTAACCCGCGCACCTGCGATTTTGACATGAATTAATGACTTGTGGATTTTCCCTTAAGCCCAAATGAATCATCTAAAAGCAGTTGTACATTCTTGTACTTGGAAATGTTTATCACAAGTCGCGTGCTTCAGCCGAACAAATGTGTTTCTGCGGTTAATCCGAAATCCACATGATCACCTCTACAGTACAGTAGTTGCATATATTTACAACAGCGTGCAGAGTTTGATTGATGTTGATTGGCATGGTTCTGCTGCTGTCCACTTAGCGGGCTGAGTTTACTGCGCGGGAGCAGGGAAGTGTGATCGGTCGACCGATACTTTTTGGCATAGAGATCCGCGGAAAATGTATATTTTGGGTTATCCGCGATTTTTAATTATCCGCGGCCGTCATTAGTGCGGATATTCAAGAGTCCCGTTTTAGACACATGTTAGTTCAATAGTCACCCCGCGTCTGTTCTCATCGCTGCTATGCTCGAGTCTAAAAATTATCTGCCCGAGTTGACCTGGTTGCACCGAAGGAATTCATTCTTCGTGACGTCGATTTTGTTATTGTTGTTGTTTGTGTTTTTTGTATGTGTGATATTTTAGATCCCTCGTGAGTCACCGCTTGTTTGTTTTTTTGTCCCGGTTCACATTTTGCTTCGTTGGGGCATTTTTTGTTTGTTTGGCTTCTGTCGTTTTGGGTGAACCCACAAATCTGGCTGTCGCCTGATGATGCTAGTTGGAATTACTGGCGAAACATCGTACTCAGATTGCAAATGTTGTGGATTTGTTTTTCCAACACACCGCTGTGATGAACTATGAACGAATTGGCACATTCTGTTTACGTGACAACCCTTACTAGTTGGCTGTGTTTGCTGGTGTTGGGTTTCACGCGATCTAACCCAAAAAACCTGCAGTTATGGATTAGACTCTGCCCCGTTTTCCCCTCCCCGAGTGCTCACCTGCTTAAGCAAATTAAATGTTGAGCCATGCGAGTTGTATTCAAGTGGGAAGACGGATGATAATGATAATAAATTACGAAGTTTAACAGCCGCGGGGGTGCAAAGGTCGACAATAAAACTATTATGCACGGCAATTATAGAAGCAAATAATCCGAGTGGGTCGACGGGGTCAGTGGTTTCGCTGTGTCCTGATTGGTTGTTACTGTTGGCAGTGTTACACTTCCACCGCCATTTGTTTAACCAAGGAGACTCGCCACACTCCGCGCACAAAGGGTAATAAGCTGATCTTTTTTCTAAACCATTGTGACTAAACCAGGGACATCAAACTTCCATCGCTCCAGACTTACACATTCTCACCAAGGTAGTTTTTTGTTGTTTTAATATGAATCATGGTCAGTCCACTGCTGGATGAAGGCCACCGCCAACTTTCCCGGTCCTGCTATGTAATAATCCACCTGTCTCCACTCGAACTGATTTCATCACTCCATCTCCTCGGGCAGACAGCCTCTCGGGCGTAGTTTTTCGGACCGCACGGGGAAAACAAAACAACTGCAGCACTTAGACTGTGGTGGGAGCAATGGGAAATTGAGCCGCACTGGGGCACAAAGGCCGGGGTGTTCGGAAAGCCGTGCTCCAAGCGGAACGAAACCGTGACCGCAGTTGCCACGTTGCGACGGGTGCCTGTGACGGGTGCCTGTGGCACGCCGCGGCCGTGCCAACGGCGGGTGCCTGTGGCGGGCGCCTGCGGCGGGTGCCTGTGGCACGCCGCGGCCATGCCGGCGACGCGCCTTCACGGGACCGTGCCTGCCGTTGTGTTCCCAGCGGGGACGGGCGTGCTGTGGTGGATGTACGCCGAGTACCGCACGTCCGGCAACACCACGCTCCCGCTGCCGCAGCTGCCCATCGTCAAGAGCAACGAGCAGGGCCTCCTCATCTACGCCATCATCGCCACCGTCTTCACGGTAAGCGTCCGTACTCGTAGCAGAGCTGTCGGCCTCCTTGACCTCCTTTCGTTTCCGCTGCCAAAGCGGAAACGCTTACATCGACGGGTGACATCTGGCCTCCAGAGGGCCCATCACCGCCATCGCATCGTTACACAGATGTCCCATCCCATTCGTCAGAGACCGCTGTTACAATCCAAATCGCCACTATCTCTGAGATCTGCCAATCATGCCCCCCCCCCCCCTTCTCAACGACGGGCTGTGCTCTCCATCCATCTAATCTGGGGGTGATCACCGGGCTTTTGTTTGCGAGGCACCCAGGATCCGGAATTCCCAGCCCCTCGGAGGTCAGGAACTCACATCACTTTCCATCGCATGTCCTTGTCCTGACCCCCCCCCGCACTTTGGATGAGCACCTCCGATGAGCACGGTTCGCTACGTATGGTGCGAAAGAAGTTCAACGTGCGTACAGTACATACCACCCAAAGCAACTTCCTCCTCTTGATTGCAGTTTTTCACAGCTCCAGCTCGGAGTGGGATCTCCAACTGGGTCTCCCACCACTCCGCACGTGCACTGACATTGAAAAAAAAACCCTGAAACCGAACTCCCTCTCTCTCCCGGTCCGTACAGGTGATCCTGCTGCTGATCATGCTGGTGCTGAGGTCCCGCGTCAAGCTGACCATCGCGCTCTTCCACACGGCCGGCAAGGTCTTCATCCACATGCCTCTACTCATGCTGCAGCCCCTGTGGACCTTCATAGCACTGCTCATCTTCTGGGTCTACTGGATAGCCGTGCTGCTGCTCCTGGGAACTGCAGGTGCCTCCCTCCCTTTCTCCCTCTCTTCCTCCCTCCCCCGCACGCCCTTTGCACTTCCGCCCTCCTCGAAGGCCGTGTGCCGGGTCTCAAAACCACTTTGCTTTCAGGCATTTTATCTTTGGACCCAGCCCATCGTCGCTGTGGGGTTTGGTGCATTGAGTGCGCCACTGCAGAGAAGTCCAGAGGCGGTCATTCTCTTGATGGGTTGCCCCCGTGACAATGTTAGGTTTTAACGCTAGGCTCAGGGCGGACGACAGAAATAGGTCATCCCCATTGCTCGTTTGACACGCAGAGCCCCAGGCGTGTCATCCGCTGTATTTGCAGCTGATGACAGTGCCCCCGGGGGGGTTTACTTGACTCAACAATTGGAACGTCGCAAAATTATAAAAGACCACTTTGGGTGAATGACTTCACGAATCGTTCCTCTGAGGTCAATAAAATTAGCATCAAAATTGCTGTGTCGACCTTAGGCGAATGCAGTTTCTACCCGCCAACTCAAAGTTTACAGGGAACTCGCAAATTAAACATTGACAGTTTGGGTAATAAAACATTAGTTTGTATTTCGCGTAATTTTCGCAATAATTGCAACAATAGGGTGGCGACCATGTCCCAACAGAACGTGCACCCACGGACCCACCAGGGTTGAGCGTGGTAATACAAAGTAATCTTTTACAGAGGCTTTTTATTACAGCGTGATTCAAAATTTGAACAAAAAATATTGACATTTCCAGGGATGGCATCATTGCTATTTTTGAGGTGGTATTTTTTGTTCTCTTCTCTGCATGAAACTGCGATGCATTTTCACGTACAATTATTGCACCCATGCTGGCAACTCCAGCAATGTTGAAAGCGCACAATTATTTTCGACCTCCGTCACCTCTGCTTCTTTCAAGTGACGACGTACGTGTATGTTTCTTGGATCTGGTCGTTCGGTGCGTGCGTGCGTGCGTGCGTGCGCGCCGGTGATTATCGTCAAGTCCTTAACACTTCTCACAAGACGGGGTGGTCAGGCCCCCAAAGAGCGACGAGGCATGCGATGAGCCGCTAATGTGCGGTCGATTCGCGTCCACCATCGACGATCGCGCCACAAACAATGCCGCATTGAAAGTTTCTGTTTGCCAAACGAGCGCGCAAGAGTGTCCGCTCATCTCCGTTTGGCGCCTTTTGAGTCGTGTGTTGATATTCTACCCTCCCAAGACACGACAGCTGACTGTTGACTTGCTACAAGCCTATTTGGCCAATAGTCCCGAGTCATATTTCCGAATGTGTGTCGAGGGTCCTCAAGCCAATCGCAATTTCCCACCCAGCCCCGATTTTTTTTTTTACGATTCCGCCTTTTGCGTTAACCTCAACCATAATTTTTTTTTTTAAAGTGAGCGTTTTCAACCGTCACCGTCTGCTGTGGGGGAATGTGCTATTCTCACGATCGGATGTTGGGAAACTTCAATCCAGGTCACAGGTCAATTCGTCGCACGGCTATGGGTATACCACATTTGTTAGGATGTCAATAAGTTGCACGTATGTTGGGCTTCTTTCACACCGTTACGTAGCCAACCTCGCTAATCGGAGGAAGAACAACAAATTAAACACAAAAAAAGAAAATGAGTTTTCAATCGAGAATTAAAAGTGCACCGCTCCAGTGGCTTCCTCATGAAGTTGATGGTCCCAGGGATCTACACTGCCCCGCCAAGGGAACGTGGCATTTCCACCACCGGCTCAGGGCCACCAAATGGAGATGAACACCTCCTCGTTCTTCTACGAGTAGGGAGATGCTGTGACTCGTTTTGGTAGTAATAATAATAAAAACATTATTTGGAACTGGGCACCTAGGCTGGTCTTATACGTCGCCGTGTAATTGTGCGAGGTTCCACTTTGCAGGCAGCTTGCGAGGCGGCGGGGGGGATCCTGGCGTCGTTGAGTGCTGTTCCCGCGTTGATTGTTGGGCATTTGCCGCGAATGCCCTCTTGTGTTGTCGCCTCTCCCCCCCCTTCACACTGCTTCTGTTGAATTTCAGAGGTTCCTGCGGCACCTGGCCCGGCAGGTATGTTGAAAGCCTTGGAGGGGGTGGTCAAAACGGGGGGTGGGGGGGGCACATTTTTCACGTCGTCGGTGGAGCCCACCAAGCGTCACGCTCGCCCCGCCCATGCCCGCAAAGTCCGTTTGCGTGCTGGCGTGCCTGTTGTATTGTCTGCGGGCGGTGTCGTGCGACTTCGCAATTTGCACGTCGCTTTCGTCTGCTGCCGAGGAGTCGGTTGATCCTCGCGTGCGCGGGTCAGCCGGGTTTCCGAACCCCGGCGTTGGGTGGCGAGGTGCGTGTGCATGTGTAATGGTCGCTCGGAAGTTGGACGCACAACCTTGGCATTGACCCCACCACGACTGGAGGAATGACGATGGACGGAACAGGGTGTTGTTACACCAGTGGGTGTTTGCGCACTTAAACGAACCAGACAACCGAACAAACTATTTATCTTACCAGGTAACGCCCCGGAAGCTATACGGGACTCCCCCGTTATTCACGAACTGGATCTATCCGCAATTTTGGCTGTCCTTGAATCGCATCTGGAACCTCTACGCCAACTACTGGTCATCGAGAGAGAGAGACGGAAAGAAGAAAGTGATGAGAGAGATTGTGATGAGATAAAGTGGTGAGAGGTGAAGTGATGAGAGATAGTGTTATGATAATTTTCATGTATTTAGTATATTTTTTCAGGTACTTATTTTAGGTTATTAATGAAAAAATATATAGAGGTTTTTCTTTGTCCAATATAATCCATGAAATTCACGAGCATCTCCGGCGGACCCCGGAGAAAAATCCACGCTACCATGGAGGGAGAGAGAGAAACACGCAAACTCCATTTTATATACAGCAGGCGTCAGGGTCGGGTATCGAAGCTAGGACCTTCTGTGTACCAGGCGAGGCAGTTAACATCTCCTCGCCACCGTGGCGTTGGTCCTCGATTAGCATCGGGCGGACGATGTTTATTTGATAATTGGTTTTTTACCCTTCTATCTGGCAACAAAACTGACATATTTTTACTGGCAAATGAAGTTCCAATGGTGTAAATGCTTACCCCGAGCTCTCATACTCTGATGGTGCATTGTCTTTGAGTTGTGCGCCTTTTGGCGTCATCTGGTCCAACCCATGTGAGACTAGGCTCTAAGGAAAGCTGTCTCGGGTGTGGACCAATCAACTTCAAGGACAGTGCACATTATCAGAGTTATGTTTTTTTTTGCATTATGACTGCAGGTATTGTGGTCTATGCAAACATGACTCCTTGTAAAAAAGGTGTCAGTTTTGTTGCCAGATAGAAGGGTAAAAAAACAATTATCATATTTTTACTGGCAAATGAGGTTCCAATGGTTGATGTTTATTTTCTCGAGTCGTCGGGCTCTCAGTCCGCTCGGGTGTGCGCCCAGCTTGAGGAAGCGACGACGGAGAACTCGACGCCTGCCAGGCCAGGAACAGTGCCCACCTCTCGACGCCAACGTGCGCCCGGCGCTGCCTCGTGCGTCGCTGCCAGCCACCCACGCTCTTAATGCCGCAAGCGAGCTAAACGCTACGTTGTGAGACACGTACCGTGTCATTGGACGTCTATTTGGTCTCGTGTGGGTTTTGATTGGTCAAACGATGGTTGGCTGTAGTTCTGGAGAGATGAGCTGTTGCTAGGCTGATGGGGGTTGGAGTTGCCGTCCCCCGTTATCTGAAAGGCACGGTCACGGAAGTTTTAATTGAGTTGACGTTGCCCCCGTCGCCGTCTGTTTAAATTGAACGCGTTGATGTGCGATGTTCAGTTCATTGAGCTCTTCATCAAACGTGCGGGCTTGATGAAAGGCTTTCAGAACACGACACGCACACCCTGAAGCTGGCATTGAGACGGGGTCGCGTTGGCGACAGTTTGAATTCCGTGGTTGTGCCTTTAAATGTCCTGTGACTCACTCACTAACAGCTGCTGTGTAAGTTGTCTTGTGACTGTTGCACCCAGTTTAATAATGCTTCTTCCAGATGGGGCGGGCATGTGTTGGTGTAATGGTGAATCACATGATGGTTGACTGAATCTTTCCGCCAAAGAAGAGCGTTCACTACCTTCTGACCATTTTTATACAATTTGTGTATTAATGCGGTTTCCTTCCTTGCCATGACACTACTCATTGGTAGAGATGTTCACGTTGTGTTTCCTGCACACATTAGCATAAACCTCTATATCAATGCACGAATCGGAGCCACAGCTCGTTCAACCTCGCAAAGCTGGACCAAGTCGGTTCTGGGCCAACGGGCAGAAGATTCACCTCTTGTCTGACGAAGAAAAAAAAAATGAAACGAGGAAAAACAGAGGTCGTCGCCTCCGAGTCTCCGTCGCGGAATGCTTGCCTCGTAACAGCTCGTGTCACTGTCTGCCAATAACCAGTCGATAACCGCTTCCGCTCGGCTTTTAATGAACAGCGGCGAGGCCGGGTGGTCTCGCCGCTCCGGTGGCTTGGCTTTCGCCTCCGGGAAGCACGTGGGGCCTAGTTTGGTACAACCTCTCGCCATCCAGGCTTCCCAAGCACTCGGAACTGTTGCTGGTCAAATTAATAGGCAGGTTTTTTGGCGAAAACGTTAACAAATGCGCCTTCTCCCAAGCCGTTCGCTCTCCAGCGAGTGATTTTTGTTTGTTTGTAAGGTCTCGGGGGCAGCGTGTGCGCGCCCGCCGCCTTCGCTTGCTGGCGACAAGGCGATTTCGATGACCTCCGACGAAGTGAAACAGAGTAGCCGTCCCTTTTGCTGGCCGTGTGCCCAGATTGCACAGAGTTGCTGAAACGTTCGTTGCAAGATTATACGCACGGGCTGGAAACAACGCACCTGGTGCGTGTTGCAATCGTCGTGTACGTTCGCCGTCTCTAGAATTGCGGAAATAAATTGGTCGCGCCGAGTGTTGACGGCGATATTACCCGTCAAGTGGAGATGTAAGAGGTTCATGTCTCTCGGCCAGATCGTTGGAAATTAAAATCCCAGGAATTACTCAAACTAAACTATTTTTATTTTACCAAGTAATGCCATTTGAGCCATGATAGCTCAACAAAGTGGCTTTTCACGTGGCAATTTCTAGCAGCCTAATACTCTTAAACGCACGTTGATTCTAAATGTGGAGGGGAAAACAGAGGACCCGGCGAGAACACGCAAGCTCCAAATATACAACCGGCGTCAGGGTAGGGATCGAACCCACGACCTCCTGTATTATACCAGGCGAGGTAGTCAATGTCTCGCCAACGTGGCACCATTGACAGCTCGGCACCTCTCGTCCTGATCAACTGAGCAGCACCCCTTCGCGAGTAATCACCGGTGTCTGTTTCATAGAACGACCGGTGCCCATCACGGGGACACTTTGCGTTGCCACCACTGGCTCTCAGAGCCTCTTCCCCCATGTTGCTCTTTTAAGCAGAGTGGGGGGCACATTGACCCGAGTGGGGTAGTTGTACCCAATGGACCTCCTCATGGCACAAAGTACGGACAGCGCTTAATGTGTTTCGAGCTACGAGTCTGTGGCAACAGCAGTTAAGACTTCTCGGCCTGTGTTTTTCCACCGCCGTTGCTGCGGCCTCTCAGGTTTATTTACAGTTGTAAAGTTTATTTAAAGTTGTAAAGTTTATTTAAAGTTGTAAAGTTTACAAGCGGTAGCTGCACCGCTCGTCTTAGGCGACCGAGGGGAAGCGAACGATGGTTGTACCAAAATCGGAGCGAGCCCTTTCATGGTGTCAAGGAGGCTTGCGACTTTGTACGAAGCCAGTGTTTTAGATGAGAAAACCAGCCCTTCCGAATACAATGCACACTGCCATTGTATGTATGCGTGTGGCTGGGTGTGTGTGGGTGGCAACGGAGTGTCGCATAGCACGCATGCCCCTCTGCGTACATTTCAGTGTCGAGGCTTTGGTTTAAAGCGCAATGCACGTTCATTGTAACATGCACTGGCCCTGAATTTCAAGTGTTTTTGAAAAGGCTTTGTAATGAACCCAAGAGTACCTACTTCGTTTAGCAAAGTACTTTGAGCTAAGCATTTTTTTTAAACGAAGCCACGGATTCTTAACAGCGGTACGACTGTACGTCAAGGTCATGTGACAGTGTCTCAGTGCACACCCGAACCTGTGGTTGGTTACTCAACTCTGGAGGGCCCCCCTCCCAGCCATTTGTGTATTTTCCTACATTCCTTTGGCAGCCTCCACAGGAGCAAACCACGTGTGGTGGCTTCTCACAATACAGTACCTAATTTTGTCGAGCCCAGAGCAATGATGATGATGATGAGTTGAGTCCAACCACTGATCAAGATTTGGACCTGCAAAGCTCGTTTTGAGGCGTCTTCAATATTTCCTGCCAGTGCCCCCTGGTGGCAACATAGGCTACTATAGCTGGTCACGAGTTCCTCCTAAGAGGCAATGTTGGCTCCAATAGCCAGTCACACGTCTCTCTAATTTATCCTTTTTTCATTTTACCAGGTAAGGCCCACTGAGCTATATAGCTCTTATTTCAGATGCGACCTGGCCTCAAATGCCTCGTGGCTGGCTATAAAAGCTAAGAAAAAATCATTACTTTTGATTTGGTCAAAGAAATGTTACTCTGTGGATTTATAATGTTTTAACTTCTTTTTGCCTGTTTATTTGTTTGGTTCAGTGAGTGCGTGCCAAGGGTATATTCTCATTTCTTTCACAAAATTCTGCACCTAGATACGGAATTTATCATTTCTCCTACAACCTTTGAGGCACCGTAACGTATAAGATAACGCTCCGTCGTAGAAAGTGTGACAGAGAAAATTGCCTCGCTAAATAACTCGCACAGGCTGTACTTTAATATTAAGCCATGCGTCTATACATGATCTTCAATAATGTAATGCCCTAATCCTAATAACAAGGTCATCATTTTTCACCGCATGCATAGTTAAATGTCCTGTAGCACTATGTGGTTAAAAAGTACATGACTAGCAATGATAAAGTTTTGAGTTTAAATCCTGGTTAGGTGTTTACTCAAACCAACCATCATCCCTTCGTTGTCCGTAAATATTTGTTTCCGTTTTTTTGGGAAGTCAAGAGTGGCCATTCTGTGGAGATAGTAGTGACCTCTACTGACGAGGTGACCTCTACTGACGAGGCGGCAATTGTCACAGCGCTTGGCAAGAGTGCTCGTTCAACACAACCATCGCTGTGTGATGTTAAATAAAACAATAATTTAGCCCGATTAGAAAAAGTTCCAGCGTTGCCAGCTGCGGGTTCGTCCAAGCGACCTCGAGCCGCTGTGCAAATCAACGCGCGAATCAAACTAATTTAAAACCATTTCACGAAATGCGTAGAATTGAGCGCTCGTCCAGATTAAACACATTGGCCTGGCTCGGTGGTGGAGGGAGCGCAGAGTGGCGAAGCGAGCCTGCCACCTCAGCCCGTCGACACACAGCTGGCTTGGTCTCGAGACGTCCTGCCAGTGAGCCTTGGCCACTCCGCGCGGCCTCGGGGTGGTGCACCCAGCCTGGCACAAGTGGCCTCCTGGTGGAAGGTGTTGGCCGCGGTTGTTCGTGTCCGCGCGGTGACTCCCAGCAACCTGGGTTCAGTTCCCAGCGACCGTGGATCAGTCGCCTATGGTATCCGAACCTATCCACGGATCTCCCCTCAGTTAGCTGAGGCCTTGTATGATCCGCCGTGGTGGGGGACACTGCCAAGACCGCCAAGCAGTACTTAATGCACGTTCCCTCACAGCACTTGTTTCGGCGATTCAATTCCCGCTCACGGCCACCAGCACCAGTGAGGATGATTTGAACAGGTCCTGGGCCTCAATGAGTACCTGCCATTGTGTATTATCATCGCCACTGGGGAGACAAAGGTGGCCAGGGGTGGTCCTGGCCACCTCACGTACTCGTGTGCCACGCCAGCCTTCATCGGTGCTACTTGCTAACAGCGCTTGCTCTAACCGTCTGTTAAGGCTACACAGAGGGGGTCTTTGTCTTTTTTGTACACAGCATGAGTTTGTTGTGGTGACTCACGGTGGGGTTTGGTGGATCCTCTGCTGCTGCTCGTGGGAACAGGTGACCCGTCCACCACGGACCAGGGCTTTGTGGAGTACCAGCTCGTGGGCCCCGTGCGCTACATGTGGTGGTACCACCTGGTCGGACTCATCTGGGTCAGCGAGTTCATCCTCGCGTGCCAGCAGTTGGCCATCGCCGGCAGCGTCGTCACCTACTACTTCACGAGGCAAGGGCTCGCGATCGCTTCCCAGCAATTTGCTCGTTCGGCCGGTGGCTAAGAGATGTTAACTCCCTCGCCTGGTATGAATGAGGTCGTGGGTACGATCCCGACCCTGACGCCCGCTGTATATTTGGAGTTTGCGTGTCTAAAACAATTTTTTATTTTACCAGGTAAGGCCCACTGAGCTTGTTAGCTTCTCCTTCAGAAGCGACCTGGCTCTCACAAATGATAGCTCAACAAATTGGATTATAATCACGTGGAAACTTATAGCAGTCAAAATAATCCAAATGATAAAACTTGATTTCTACGTAATCCAAATGATCCCGAATGAAAATGCTCTCCACGAGTACCGGCTCAGAAAAGTTTCAAAACACTTGCCTTTGTTAAAAAAAATCACATGGAATGCGCTGGACCTAAATCGTAACTCACAAGCCAAGCAGACAAGTTATTAGCCCGGATGGGGCTGGGGATAGGCAGCCACCAGGGATTAAACACAAATCGTTGAGTGACGTTGCATTGGCAGTGGCGCACAAAGCACAGGTGAAGAAAACAACTCGGCACGTTAATCAATAACGCTGCTGCCTTAAAAGTAATATAATAATAGGCATAGTTTCTGGCAAAAGGCCCTACTTCATGCATAAAACAAGCGCTATAGCAGTGTTCTTCTCCAGTTCGAATAAATATACCGATTCCGAGTATAACACTACGCTGGGTAGGCCAAATTCATCTCGGGACGTGCGATAATCGGTGCTTCTATTTGTCATTTTAATTGAACCCCCGGGCATGCCGTTGTTCCGCACGCGCCGTGCCGGGCGCGCACAGGAACAAGAGCGAGCTGCCGATGACGCCCATCCTGTCGTCCATCAAGCGGCTGCTGCTCTACCACCTGGGCACGGTCGCCAAGGGCTCCTTCATCATCACCCTCGTCAAAATCCCACGCCTGGTCCTCATGTACATTCACCAGAAGCTCAAGGGCACGGTACGCCGCGTCTCCGCGTTCCCAGCTTGTGTTGAAGAGCCTCCCTATGCGTTCTCAGAAGGCTGTGCGGCTGATGGGATGTTTCGTGAGGTTATTTTACGTAAATGAAACGTGAATTGTGAATGCTGTGGGTTTACTCTCCAATACGCCGGCGTGCTGAAGTAGTAACTCGCTCGCACGTTCTGTTTACGTGACCGACCTTACTAATTGGTAGTGTCAGGTGGTGGCGGGTTTAACGACACATTCATATTTACGCGATCTAACCCCAAAAAACCCTCTATTTATGGCCGATGGGAGGTGTACATTTTATATTATTGTTCACGTGGGGGGGGGGAGAGATGTGTGAAGGAGGCATTTTGTCTCCCTATTTTGTTCGGATGTTGTGTCTACGCATTTGCCCCTTCCATCTCCCACATCCACAGAATCGTCCCCTCTGCTGGCACTTCCGCTGGTTGCGTACAGTAGCTGTTGTTGTCGGGGTCATTACGCGGTACAGTGCAGTTGACCGCTACGAGAGGACTCCGGCAATGCTTGAGACGTCACGTGGCCCCGGCCTGCGTTATTGTTCACTTTCTTATTTTATTTCATTTACTTTCTTGGTCAATTTCGGCTCGATGTCCAGTTTGCATGTTGATACAGGTCGGCCCTGTACGACCGTCGCGAGATGCTTTTTGAATGTATTTAAACGCGATGTGAAATTCGAATAACATTCACGTTTTAATCGTGTTCCCTCTTCTCACCGTGGGGCGGGTTTATTTTTTAATGCCGTAATGTTCTTTGGGAGTGAGCGGTACACACGGTTTTGAATGCACGTTCGTCATCGTCGTTGTCACCGTGACCATACGTTGGGCACGATCCCTGCAGTCATGCACACTTGCATTGTGTAGCAACTCGGCAGTAATCATTCAGTCGATCATCGGTTATCCAGCGGCTTCTGGGGGGAATGGGGACGCTGGATTTTCAAAAATGCCGGATAATCACTAATTGGTTTAAAAAACTTATTTTTGAGCATTCTTGTATAACATGTTTTTAGGTGTTGTGGATATTTTTTTAGTGTTTTACATGTGTTTACTATATGGCATTAATAAACATACAAATAGACAAAATGAATATCCTCCATAATAGAGGGTTTTGGGTTTGATCGGGTAAATATAACCGTGTCGTTAAATATCCTTCTGTAAAACGTTACCGTATTTATTGTACCGTACTTACCCCACCAATCTCGAAGGCTCTGCATGGAGTGATGTATGTCCGACACTATTGTTTAAACAATATCATTTGTTTGACCATTGCCGGACTAGTTACAGCCTTTGGAGCGGCTTTTCCGGTTTCCCCGAATCAGACCGGGACCGCCGGATTATGTTGGAAGCCGGATAATCGAAGATTCACTAGTAATGGCGATGACGACGCTGCAATATTAACGACAGTGGCAGTTATGAGATGAAAGTTGCTACTCTGCTGTGCTTATGTCTGCAGGAAAATGCGTGCACCAACTTCATGCTGAAGTGTTGCATCTGCTGCCTTTGGTGTTTGGAAAAGTGTCTAAAGTACCTGAACCAGGTAAGGGCTTTCATTGTTTTTGTTTTTTTATTTTATTTCTGACTTCCTGGCTCTTGTCCTGATGATGTTTCCCACGCAAACTCCCTGCCAAATGACAAAAATTTGGTTGTGGGAATTTGACGTAAACTTAACAGTGAGCTGAAACGATAATAATATACTCGACGCCTTGTTAAACACTTAACCGTGTAACGATTCAACTTGTACTCCTTTAAATGGCGTTGTATGTATATATGATGAACTTCTTTCGCAACGTAATTAGCCAACCGCGCTAAACAGATGTGTGGGGTGGGGGGGGGAAGGACACCAAACTAAACACAATTAGCAGTTCTTAAGAAATTAGTTTTCAATCTATACGATTGAAAAGTGCACAGCTCCAGTGGCTTCCTAATATCGGAGGAAAGAGCGTTCCAGACGGCTGCAGAAGCGTACCTGAAAGCGCGCATCCGTTTAGTAGTTCGCCAAAAGCCGCCGCCTCTGCTGCGAGGATGACCGGAGTTTGCGTGACGGCTTCTGCTCCTTGTCGCCGCTGATGAAACTCGCTCTGGCTCCGTGCGTCCCCGTGCGCCGCAGAACGCGTACACGGCCACGGCCATCAACGGCACCAGCTTCTGCTCGTCGGCACGCGACGCGCTCACCATCCTGGTCTCCAACGCGCTGCGCGTGGCCGCCATCAACTGCGTCGGCGACTTCATGCTCTTCATGGCCAAGGTGAGAGGGAATGACACCCCAGTAGAGGCTGTGGCACTGTCACACGTGACACTCAAGTGTGGGTTGTGGCACTATGACGTGAGACACTGAATCGTGACACTGAACGATGAGCTGGGATGCTGAAATCATGAGCATGTGACACTGTGAAGTGTGACACCACCAACACTGTATTGTCACACTGAATCATGAGCTGCGACATGGCACATTGTGGGCTCATGATGCTGTTGCACCCCATGGAATTCCTCCGGCCGGGGAAGTCTGCAAAGGATCGCCACTGTGGATTCTCCCGTGGGATTCCTCCAGTCTAAATAAAGACTCCGATTCCGCTTCTGCAACGTTGCCCGCGTTGTCTTTTATTCTCAACAAAACCTAAAACTATTTTAATTCGACCAGGCAAGGCCCAGCGAGCGATGTAGATCTTTTGCAGAAGTGACCTGGCTATCACAAATGATAGCTCAACGAAGTGGCCTGTCACGTGGACATTCATCGCAGCCAAATACTCTTGAACGCCTGATGTTGATTCGAAATGCTGGAGGGAAATACCGGAGGACCCGGAGAAAAACTCGCACGACCACAGGGGGAGAGAGACACGCAACCTGCAAATACACGACAGGCGTCAGGGTCGGGATCGAACCACACGACTCCCTTGCATACCAGGCGAGGGGAGTTAACATCTCGCCACCGTGGCGCCCACACAGATCCTGGTGGTGTGCTTCACCGGCTTCGCGGGCGCCTTCATCCTCAACTACCAGCGCGACTACCACATGTGGGTGGTGCCCCTGCTGCTCGTGTGCCTCTTCGCGTACCTGGTGGCGCACTGCTTCCTGTCGGTGTTCGAGATCGTCGTGGACGTCCTCTTCCTGTGCTTCGCCGTCGACACGGAGCACAACGACGGCACGCCGGGCAGGGAGTACTACATGGACAAGTCGCTCATGGTGAGCGGTCGTGGCGGGTACAGGGAGGGGGTGGGTACAGGCACGTGGATAGATAACCGGCTCGGTACGCTGTATCGAGTACTTTGACCAGTGTGGTGACGTATGGTCAAGCAAAGCCTCTTGAGCAGCAGCATGGGGAGGAGGCCTTCAACACGGGGTTGACGATGGCGCTGTTGATAACGATGGCCCTGGAACACGTTGTAGATCGTTGGTGTCAATGACAACCATGACTTGTACGGCGCATTTCCGCACGCTTTAGTTGTCGCCTACGTTGGGGTACCGAGCAGCGTCACGCCGGGCCGAATATAACGTCGGTCGGTGGGTCGGCGAGCAAACGGTGACCCCTCGCCACGCGTGCACCGACCTCCCCCTCCTCTCCCCGCAGGAGTACGTGAAGAACAGCGAGGAGGCGCTCTCCAACCTGGAGCGCAAGCGCAAGCAGGGCCGCGCCTCGGGAGACGCGGGCCGCGAGCTCAAGCCCATGGTAGGTGGGCCGCGCCAGGGCCCAGCGCCGACGCCGGCTCGCGACTGGCCCTTCCAGCTGGGCTACGTGTGCCTGTGGGCGCTGCTGGACTGCGCCGGCTCGCCCGGGCGCGCAGGCCCCGCCGCCCTGTGCCTCCCTGAGCACCTGCTTCTCTCTCTCTCTCTTTACGCCGCGCCGCTGACGCTCGCCTGGCACCTGCAGCGCCGCCGGCCCCGGGCGGTGCGTCCGGCCGCCGCCATTTGACGACGACGGCGGCGGCGGCGGGGGCGGCGGGGGTGGCGCGATTTACGCGGCACGGAGAAGGGTGGCGAGGGTGGTGGGTGGGGGGGGGACGGCACGGAGCCTCGAAGGTACCCGACGCCGCCGAGGGAGGGGCCCAATATTGGGATGGCGACGCGAAAATGGGCGGGCGGCATCTGTTTGTAGCGGTCTTCCCCGTAGGGGCCCTCCTGTCCAGCCGGTGCATGAGGGAGCCTTTCCAGGAAAAAAAAAACAGAGCAAGGCCATTGAGTTCCAGTCGCGACTCAGGGGAGGGTTAATTCCAATACAGGGGGTGATGGGAGAGAGGGCTGTGGCCTGGTGCCAAAAACGTTGTAGCACCTCGCTTGCTGAATGGGCGCCACGGTAGCGAGATGTTCACTACCTCCGTTGCCATCTGTTGGAGCAAGTCCAACTCGGCCACTGCGTTCCAGCCGTGTTGGCAGCGTGTGCACGTTAAGTTGTGGGGTGTTGGGAGTCCCCTTCACCGCTGAACCTCGGACCGCGCCAACAGTTCGGCGTACATTTTATTAGGAGAGGCATCGTGGCCCGCCGTTTTTCAGAGACATTGTTACTCGCCGCAGAGAACCGTAGCAGCACGACGGCACTCGGTGTTAGCTGGCGCCAAACTGTGCCACACGCCGTCCCGCATGGCCTTGTGGGAGCCCTCGGTACCAATTAAGTTATTTAATATTTTGCTCCGATTTCTTTTCCGAGAACGTACACGTACGTCATCGGAACAGAATCGGATTGGGAAAGGCTTTATGCGCGCCAATGTGCGTTGGCCAGAATCGGAGACAGTGGCTGGCACAACTGCACAGGGAGTGGCCTATCTGGATGGGTAATCCCCGGAGTTAGAGGACTCTCTTGGTGACATCTAGCCGGATCGGCTCCCCATATCGGCACCCCATCCCCCACCCTTTCCTCGTCTGTGCTTTGCTGCCAACGCTTTGCCCGCTATCCTTGTGTTTGTCTGAAAGCTGCTGCATCCTGTCTCAGAATCCTGGGAGAAACCTCGCCTGCCTGTCCCCTCCCACCGTGCTCTCTCTCTCGGGCTCGGACGTGATGTTGCCTCCGTAATATAGTTTTTTTTGGGTTAGGTCACGTAAATGTGTTGTTAAACCAGCCACCACCCGACACGGCCAATTAGTAAGGTTTGTCACGTAAACAGAACGTGCCAATTCGTCACTAGTACAGCACACCGGTGTGTTGAAGAGCAAAGCCACAACATTTACAATCTGAGTACGACGTTTCGCCAGTATTTATAACCAGCTTCATCAGGCGACAGCCAAATTTGTGGAGAAATCCTCCTGCTTCGTTCCTTAAATATAGAGGCGTAGATGTGGTGACTGTCACTCGTGAGTCCTTCACGTGCGTCTCGTCTTGTCAGTCATGGACTTTTTATTCAAACGAGTGAAGGCCGGTTATGATGAGCCTGGGGCGGGGGGGTCCCTTTTGTCAAGGGAGACCTCGGGGTAAGTACAGGGAAATGTGCAGAAGCAAGGCAGTGAAGAATGATAGTTGGGTGTAAGCACAAGGAAAGTATTAAACCGGGAATGAAAATTAGCCTGCAAAAAAAGTATCATTAATTTCCCACAGTCAACAGTTAATTTTTTTTCTGTTAAAACCTGCAACGCATGCATACAAATTGTAAACTTTAGCAAGACGTATAAATGATGTCTCTTTTTTAGAACGAGCTTCAGGGAAGCCCCCTTCGTATCTGTCTGCAGTCCTAAGACAGCGGTGGAAGTTCCACAGTCCTACGCCCGAAGCCAGCCCATTGATGGCATCGCCACCTTTGGTTGGTGTCGCACAAAGTGGCACCGACTTCAATCGACCCCCCGGAGAGGCTCCGGCTCCGGGCTGTCGACACGGGAGACGAGCACGGTCCCCCGCCGCTCAGATGAGCAGGACGCCACTTGGGGGTTCTGCATCCTTCCCACAGCCTCCGCACACCCCTAACACTGTCGTGTGTGTGTGTTCGTGTATCTGTGTGTGCGTGTCTGTGGGCGAGTGTCCGTGCGTGCGCATGTCCATGTGTGTGCGCGTGTCCGTCGGCGCGTGCGTATGCAGGCGGCGAGCAACGCGTGACGGGCGCCGCGGGGAGGAGCCAACGTCTTCCACGCTCCGCCTCCCGAGACCTCGCCACTCCATCCCCACCCCCTCCTCCTCCGCAGCAGCAGCAGCAGCAGCCGCCTTCAGGACCCACCGACAGCCCCTAAGTCCACTACCGTCTCCAACTACGGAGGCAGCCACACGGACGACGTTTTGGTCGATGCCGGGGCTGCTTTGGTTACCGCCAATCGTTGGCCTTTGGTTTTCAAACGAAACGACAATGACGACAACAACAACAACAAAAAGCGCGCGCAAGAGGATTCGAATGCCGCCAGTTCACGTTCTTCCGCTCCACGCCGGGTTGCCGTGCGGTTGGCGCTTTTAAAAATAAAATCGACACCAGGAGGAGCAGCTCTGACGCGCATGGACTTGATCCAAGACGAAGCGGCGGCAGCAGCAGAGACTTCCCGTGGTTGGTTCCGAATCCGCAACATTAATCGGTTCGGGCGTAATAAGAACGTTAGAGAGTTTTTGTTGTGGAACGACCAAAAAAAAAAACCCAACATCTTTTTCAGCCCCTTCCAGCAACACGATGTAGTGATTCCTAGTCGTAGCGCCAAGAGGAGTGGGAGTCGTGGGGGTCGTGGGTGCTTCTTGTGGGGCGCGCGTGTGCACGCTCAGCAAACCCACGTGACGCTTTGGCCCGTTTTTGGGAGGAAAGTGAACAAAAGAAAATTGAACGCGGTGGAGCCGTTTGTGAGTGCGGGTTTGACGAGCGGGCTCCAGTTTTAGTCGATAACCTTAGGATTTATAGCCTCTGAATAATTGTGGCGTGCATCTTTGAAAATGCTGCCTCCAACTTGGTGCAAGCCAACACATGAAATGTGCCTAGCGTGCAGGGGTGTGGGGTTCTTTTTTGCAAGTAAGGGGGGAGGCGAGGCGGGGGTTTTGGGGGACCGTTTTCAGCGACACGTGTGACCCGTGGCTGGGTACGATCACGCTAAAGCCCCCTTCTCTGCCCGGTGACAAGCGGCACTCGTTTTTTTTTTTTTTTAATAACAAAGAAGTCCCGTGAAAACACGTTTCGCTTGATGCAATTTTTACTTCCTGCTGCGCGTCGACAGGGGTTGACGGCTCACGCGCCGGTCGGGCGGACGGCGAGGGGTGTGTACACAGAAGCACGGGGGAGTGGCGAGCCAGCCGCAGTCTGGGGCAGGAGCAGTACCCCACGCTGCCCGGGGGCCTTGCATCTTCACACCGTCGTCAGCCTGAGAACCCTACGCAGACTGATTTAGAATGAGCAGGTAGACTAATATAACACTAACTTTTTTATTGTACTTTTACTTACTCTCACACTCGGTCATATAGGCGCGTGAATGTGTGTAATGGCAAATGGGGGGGGGGGGGTGTGTGCTTCCCGGTTATCACACCGTGGGTGGTAGGGTCTACGCATGATGCTCGAGACCAATTTGACTTGAGCAAAGCAACTTGGGGTCGAGTGCGTGAGCGCCGCACATCAGCTGGGGGTGTTCTCTGGCGCGGGGGGAACCACCTGTCGCTCAGCGTGGGTCTCGAGAGAGAGTCGCTGGCTCGACCCCGACGTCCACGCGATGAGCAGCAACCCTTGGTGAAGCAAGTCGTAATAAATTCGTTCGGTGTGATGTTCAAACGGCGTTGGTGGGATCCAGTTGGCTCTGCGCGCGAATCGTGTTTACCGGGGGCAGCGGCGGCGGCAGCGCCTTACTCGCAGTCTGCGGGAGGCCTTGAGATCACAGCGCTCGGCCAGCAAGTTGACACAAAGCCTATCTTCCCTTCCGTGTCAATAAAAAAAAACGAGCTCCGCTTTTTACGACGGCCGACAGCAGTTGTCGTCATACAGAGCGACAGACACGGGGTCGCCTCCGCGGGGGTCATTCGCGGCGTTGACACACCGCTGGCTTACGACTGCCGGCGGAGATGAGCTGACAGCTGAACAACCCCGAGCGAGGGCGCGGTTGCCCGCTCGCCCGTGTGTGGACACACACTGGCGGCCGTCCACCGGCTGTAGTCGTACGAGCGAACTGAATTTTATTCGCATCGGAAGTACACGTTCTGATTTGAAGCCGCGTCCTATTTGCAAGATAACTTCAGTTTACAATGTGGGGCGGGCCGGGGGAGCGGGTGGAACCCGTGGCGATGAGGCCGTTGTGTGGTAATCGAGAAACGCTGTGCTCCGTGCTGCCCGTTGCCTGGGCAGGGAGCACGCTGGCGTGGGTATTTCCTCTCTCCTGGCTGCACAGACTAACGCCCCCTACCGATGTATCGTTTTGAAAAGCACCAATGTGCAACTCAAACTCCGAGATGTGCCACACGCGCACGCCGCATCTTCGACCGGTGGTCACAGGCACCCCCAGGTGTTCTATTGTCATTATCAAGTCGTGACGCAGGTCAGTAGTTAATAAAACCTGAAGGCAACCGTATTCGCCAAATTCAAGAATGCTCAAATCCAGCGATTGACAGAATGACTCCTGTGCTAAACTTTCGCGCTCGGGGCATGCGTACGATGCCACCTACCCAGCCATCCCGCCCGCCCCATCCTCCCAGCTTGCGAGTTTTTTTGGCTTGAAGAGTTTGAGAAGCCCTGCACTAACGAGTAAATAAAAGAAAGCCTTTTTGGTTTAGGATATTTTTGTTTGGTGGTATTAGCTACATCTGCGATTAACGCAGTGCCTTAACCCGTAGTTCGTGTTGACGTAATGACGTTAAACTGCGGAAGGAGCTCGATTATGGATTGACCGGTGAGAAAGAGCCTGGCCGTGTCGAGACGGAGCCTGGAGTGCGTGAGGGTTGCCCCCCCCCCCGACCCCCCCCTCCCCCCCCCCCCCCGTCGCATGGGGGACATGGATCTCGCTTGGAACACTTCCGTCGGAGTCAGACGTGTGTGCCCGTTTCTTTTTGCTTAACCAACCCACCTCTGTCGTCCCCTCGCTCGCCACGGGTCTCCCCCCCCCCCCCTTCCCGGCTTGCCGCTTCCAATTTCTACCGAGAGCGAGCACTGGGGAGAGTGGCCACGGATTCAAGAATGGTTTCTGGAGAGGCAGTTCAAGCAGGTGAACGCACGCGGTCATTCCACGAGGAGTTGCGCCGGTCGGGAATCGCTCTGCTTCGGCGCTCTGCCAGGGTTCGATGAGAAATGTTGGGAGGGGGGGGGGGTGTGGTCGACGTTGCGGTGAGAAGGACGCGTCGGGCGTCGGCTCCATCCTCCCTGAGTGTGCGGGGTTCGTGATCCCCCGTGTCCCCCCCCCCCTCTGCCTGCACGCCCATTGACTCTGTTGACTCTGGAAGTGACGGTCCGCGTCAAAAAGCTCGTGACCTCCATCCGTTTGAATCCTCGGGCGTCTCTTGCAGTCCGCGAACTCGGAGCCGCTCCAAGTTGGCAAAAGTTCGCCTCGTCCGCCCCACCGCCGCGTTAAGACGGAAGCTTCGCCTCGACCTGGATAACCTCGCGATTGAAGCCTTGGTCGCATTGAGTCGGGGGGGGGGGGGGGGGGGCAATATTCTGGCTGGAGCCAACCTCAAAGTCGGTCTCCTGGAACCCAGCTGGAGGCGGCGAGAGCCGTCTCGGAGAGTGGCGGCCTCTCGCGTTTCCACATTCCAGGGCTCCAAGTGGAGCATGGCATGGAGCCACACTGTACACGGGGCAAGTTTCTGACGACAAAAAAAAGACCCCCATCGGTAGAAATGACCCTGGGACAATGAGCGGTGGGGGGTGCCCCCCCACGCCCACGTCGTGCCAACCGGTTCGATGGCGCGTTTTGCTTTTGCGCGAAATACCCCGGTCCGCGGAAAAGAGCGTCTGTGCGGATTTTTTTTCCTCTCCAGTCGCACAGCCCGTCAAGTCCCCCCGCCGTCTGTGGCGTGTCCACGGCGTGGCGTCTGTCTCCCCGCTCACGTGGGGGATTGGGGGTTGGCAGCGTTCCCCGTCGACGTCGTTCGTGGAGAGAGGCCTCCCCCCCCCCCGCCCCGTCACTCGTTCGCTCGAAAATTGGGAGCAGCCGAAATTGATGACCCCGCTGTTGATTGACAACAACGCTTGAAAAGTGGTATTTGTTTTCATCGAGTACCACTTGACACCAGCAGTGCCACCACAGCCGAATGTAATGCCCATTTTCAACGAATGCATGAATGCGGAGCCGTAGGCAGCCCCCGTAGGGTTATCACGGTTCAGTGTTATTTTTCAGGGCTCATGAAGATAGACAAACTAGGATTATTACGGTTCAGTGCTAAAGCCCGCAGTTTGGCTTTCCTTCACCTTCCCCCACGAAACACCGGTTAAGCCCTCTTCGCTCTTGACAGATGACGGTAAATCGTGGTGTGTGCTGGGTTATTTTTTCAGAAACAATTTTGTCACTTGACAACGCGAGCTTATACGCATCCTCCATTGCACTATTAGAAGCGGGTGTTTTCGCTCGGAGGGGATGACGTTTTAAATATCGGAGCCTTCATTGGGATTTAATCATCGCGGATGATGATGACTATGAAAAAGAACATTGACAGAATTCTTGGTGGAAAATCCTAAATCCGCACGTTATCCGTACCCCAGCCGCCTGGCCGAAGCGTCGCTCCCGTCGGTAAGAGCAGCGAGGCAGGCCCAAGTGACAACGCCGAGTTGTGACCGCTGCCGCTCAAATCCCCGCGCCGTGGTCCACTCGGCCTCCTACTCGTGTCTCCAAGGTGAAAAAACATTTACGCGGCGGTGGCGGCGGGTTGCCCTTCGGAGGGAACGATCGAATATCCGCCACGTCCATCTGGGACCCGCCAGCGGCCGGCTCGTGTGTGGTGGTGGGGGGGCAGGGTGGTGGGGGGCGCGGGTCTCCGGTCGCTGGACGCAGCCCAGACGCCGGATTGTGAACGAGGGGGGGGGGAGACTTTTGACCGCTTAAATTTTCCACCGCTTCTCTTCGCCACTTCCGACGCTGCCTTTTGCAACCACGGCGAGACGCCGCCGCCGCCGTGCTGTGGTGCGGGGAGGTTGATCGAGGAACGCTTTGAAGACGTCTTCACAACTTGGCAGTCTTTACTTAGACCGCAGGAGGAATCCGATGAGCTGTAAAGCTCTTTATTTTTTTGCGCAGACGTCTCGTCGTGGCCACGGGGTAAGACACGTGACAACAACAAAGAGTGACGCCAAACATCGACGGCACCACCTTGGGCAGAGCAAGCAAGGGCTTTTTTTTGTTATGTAAAAAAATTCAGCACGTTAACGGACAACATCCGAGGTGAAAGTGAAATTCTTGGACGCTCGCAAGCGCCACCGATCGTTTGACGACATTGTTTGGGACGCAGTGAAAGCAAATGAACGCTTTATTTGGCATTCGTTGTCGAACCATTTGAAGTTGCGAGGTCGGATCGTGTTTTAACAGCCAACGGATGGGTTCGAAATGATGCACGATGCGTAAACAAAAATTGGGTCAATTGGCGCTTCCGCACATTCCCCTTGTGGCCCTGTATAATTGTGTTGTAGGAGGTGGATATCGGACGTTTTGTGTACACATCCCCACGGAGTGGGCATGGCGCCAGACTTTGTGCACAGGGCGAGGAGCGAGTCCCAACAAACCCGCGTACTTGATGCTTTATAATTTTCTCAAAAAAAATAAACTAAATAAAAGCAAAGAAAAAAAATGGAATTTACTCAAGGCGGTGAAAGAAACAAAATTAAGTGGTACTTACTTTCTAACGTTGGCTTTGTGGAATAACCAAAGTTTTTGTTTTTACCAGGATCTTTGCTTGAATTGTGTGTGTGGGGGTGGGGCGGTGGGGGAATGATTTATAAGATGTACAATACTTGTGTGGTGAGGTTTCTAGTTTTTTTTTTTAACGGGGGGTGGGGGGGGTTTCATCAGTTTTTTCACGGCGGAGTCGGGGAGAGCTTTCCGTACCCCACAGCCTGTCCCAAGGCCTCCTCCCCCCCCTCCCCACGTGTTGCACTTTGGCCAGTCCCGGTGCCCTCTCTTGCAAGACAGCCAAACCCTTGTTCCTTCAGCCACTCCATTGCTGTCGGGTTGAGCATCTGTGACCATTGCTCGCCCTCGTATTCTTAGGGATGGGGTGGAGTGGGGGGGTACCTTTTACCACCATCGCGATTAACAAGATGAAGCTTTATGGCTGATAAAGATACGGTCGGGCGAACTCTTCGGAGGATAACTAATCGTGGCAGAGAGAACAAAGGCAGAGATTGTGAGCAGAGAATTGTGTGACTTATCGATGCAGACAATGATTTACCATTTTGGTCCGTGAACTGCAGAGCCATTCCACTGCTGGATGAGATCCTTTCCCCACATCGTGCAGGCCGTGAGGGCAGTTTGACGATACATGGGTGCCGCGGTGGTTAGGAGATGTTAACTCCCTTGCCTGGTATGTAGGAGGTCGTGGGTTCGATCCCGACCCTGATGCCATGTTCTATATAATTGGTCGCGTATTTTTTTTTCTCCGGGTCCTCCGGTTTTTCCCTCCACGTTTATTACCAACCATGCGTTTTAGATAATTTGTCCTACTTTCAATTTCCACATGAATAGCCACTTTGTTGAGCTATCATTTGTGATTGCTTGGTCGCTTCTGAAAAAAAACTTTTTCGCTCAGTGGGCCTTGCCTGGTAAAGTACAAATAATAGTTTTGGTTTGGTGACGGCGGTTGTGGAAGAGTGCAAAGCAACAAGTGGGGTGTTTCTGCAATGCCCTCTGCTGCTCCCACTGTCTACTGCACATGTCCTATACGCATGGTGCCACTCATGCACACACGAGGCAGGCCCCCAACAGGTGCTTGGCTTCTGAGATGTGGTGGCGGCATCGGGTGCATCCCAGATTTACAATAATATGGGAATTTTTAATGATACTAATGTCCACAAGCAAAGACAAACCCTGGGATTATATTCGCTATAAACATTAATTTGTAAAATAAATGTGTTTATAACCTTTACATAAACGTTGTAATGAACTGATATTTTGCCACAGATTAGCATTTTCCTTTGCTCACTTGTTGCAAAGAGACAACAATTACTCGCGCGTAAAGGTTTTGGTATTTAACATCCACAAACTACACAATTAACATGAATTGTTATTCAAAGTTCGGAACTGTCTCGGCACCACTTTGTAGCGTTGAGTGATGGGGGGGGGGGTGGGAGGCTGGTCAGGCCCCGACTGCGTTGAGCCAGGGCGCACTGGCAGCTGTGGGAACCAGCGGAAGGAAGCGCTGCCGTGGTGTGGCGATATCGGTGACATACACAGTGACCTCCTGGCATCGACCACGTAACGATCCGTCACAATCGTCTGCCCCCTCTCCCCCTTCTGCTCTGAACAACGGCAAGCATGTGATCTTGTTCATGTTCTGTGTTTCTCATCGCGACGGCCCTGAATTGATCCGTCCCTGCACTACCGCGCTGGGCTTGCGTGTGCCGTGCGGTGCGCTGTTTTTGCCAATTGTGCTGGAGCTGGGCGGAAACATCTCGCCGCTGCTGAAAATAAGCCTCGCCAAGACCGCCGTGGCCGAGAGAGTGTCCGTTCATCACAGCCTGCCCGACCCGCAGTGCTTGGGCCCCCCGGTACAAAGAGGGCTTTTGGTCAGACCAGTTGAGTTGGCCTCGTGGCCCCACCGATGGGAAATGTCGTCCCCGCCAAGAAGTCATTGGTCGGGTCTCCACGGCCCAGCCATGTTGAGACTTCCATTAAGCCAAGCAGGGTTATACTATAATTGTAATTTTAACTCGAGTATAATTGGACTGACTAGAAGAAATTTGGACAATTGTTCAGGCAGACGGCACCTCGCACTTTCGTGGATAATTCAACATCGCTTCAGACCTAAGTGGAAATGTACAGCGCCGTGGATGAACTTTTCAGTCTGTTGTCTTTACGATGTGGCGATTTGATCAAAAAAATAGGAAGACATTACATCCTTTATTTGACCAGGAGATAGCACTGCTTTTTGCAAGGAGACGACTTGGGGTTCATCGAAAATTCTGCCCCAATCACCGGCGACTCTTTGGGAAATCGCAATTGTAAGAAGTCCGCATTCTTTTGGTCAACTCCGTCCGTGTTTTTAAAAGTTTTTTTTTTATTGCATCTGCCGAGTGTTTTCATAAAACAAGGGGATTCCATCGCTAAATTAAAACCTAAGTGGTGAAGATCCAAACGTGATAAGCCACAGGTCTGCGTAATTACCGCGTACTTGCAGGTTGTTTCACATGTAGTTTACACGTTAACAGATTGGCAACAACACGAACAATAGAAGACGCCCGAATGTTTTGCTCCTAAGCTGCCACCATTCATTATTTGGCAAACGCTCCGTTGCGCGCACTCACTCGCGTTTCTTTTCGTGGAGCGGTCGGTAAGGTTCTAGATTTGAAGCTTTCGTGACTGCAAGGATTCATACTCTTAGGTTTTTTCGGTAAAGTCACGTAGGTAAAAAATTAAAATTAATCAAATAAAATAAAAATCACGACGTTTCGGAGGCAACACAAGCTTCCGTCTTCAGGTGGAACCGTCACAGCACGATAGCTGCCTCCGAAACGTCGTGATTTTTATTTTATTTATTTAATTTTTTAACCTACGTGCCTTTACCGAAAAACCTAAGAGTACCCGTTGCGTGCAGCCTCCGCACATTTGGTGACGACCCCGAGTCGGGTGTTGCACAACACGTGGGATGGAACGAGCGGGCGGGCGGTCATGGGGGGTGTCCGCCACGCTGAGCCATCTGCCGCCTTTCATGTCTCGCTGCAACAAAGCCATCGCCTTTGTTGATTGTCTCTCTCTCTCGCCCACTCAGCTTTGGCAGTTCACCCGACACAAAGCAGTACCGCCATTCTTCACCTGAGGACGGCTGCTTGCGTTGTGGCCGAAACGTCGTGAGAATTGTATTTTATTATGTTTTATTTTTATTATTTTATTATTTCCATTCTACGTGACTTTACCGAAAGAACCAAGAAGATGTACCGCCATTGTTGGCAGGTGACGTGCCCGCGTGCGTGTCGATATCTTCACACAACCGCCGTTGTTTATTGGGATTAATTTCACGAAACTTTAAAGAGATTTATCTCATACTCTTCTCTACTATGTTTAGCATGAGTTTGCAATTAGTTTTAATATTTTAAACTCGGTAACCTTATTTTATTTGTAACCTATTAGTCGCATATTAAGTTTATATATTTGTGTTAAGATGTAAACACAAAACTAACAATTGTTATGAGCAATGGAGGTTGGCAAGCTTAGATTTTTTTTTTTCGTTGAGGTCATATCTGAAAAGAGGTGAAATACAAATCGACTCCCAACAACCGCTCGGGATGTTTGACCAGAAATGGCTTCAATTTGTTTTACGTTCCAGGTCAATAACGCAACCGGTAGAACAGAAAACATCCTCCGAAGCAACCAAAACATTGGCACTACACAACCATCGCATTCGTCAAACACCCTCTACATAATTCTTGTCCTCGTTACAGTCTTGCGGTGTGTGTGTGTCGGGCACCTCCTCTTGCCAGCGAGCCTTCGACACCACGTGGCAGCCTCAAAGTGCACCTGGCCTGGCACGGGCGCCGTGGGGACGTCACCGTCACTGAGTGGCGGCTGTGTTGGCATTGGCGGAGATAGATTGAAGCCCACCCAAATTGTGCAGAAATGAGGCATCCGGGTTTTACTCCCCCCCCCCCCCCCCGGCTCCTGTAATCTCTCTCGTCCGTCCGATACTTCGCAAACCCCCTTACCCCCAGGAAGACGCCGCAAACGGGAATGTAACAACAACAACAACAACTTCTGCGTATTTCTATTTGCTCCGCTGGCGACAAAATCTTGCCAATCGACCGGTGTTTGCGATTGTTCGATCCTTCCCCCCCGTCCCGGCCCACCCGATGCTGCGTCGTTGCGAGGAGATCTTTTTTTGGGGTCGAAATCAACTTCTTACGTCCTTTGTATTTGACTTTGCACGTATTTTGTAATAAAAACAAATCTTGTTTTTTTTTAATCACTAAGCGGGAGGCGTCATTGACTTTACAAAGAGCTGGTCATTCGCGACCTTTGCTCTGCAGTCCAGCGGTCGTGAATCTTGCGAGTGAAAATATAGTCGAGAAGTGGCCTCTGCGTCAGTGTCGCCCACACGTGTGTGTGTCTACCTGTGTGTCTACCTGTGTGTGTCTACCTGTGTGTTTCTACCTGTGTGTGTCTACCTGTGTGTGTGTACCTGTGTGTTTATCTGTGTGTGTGTGTCTGTGTGTGTGTGCGTACCCGTGTGTACCTGTGTGTGTGTCTACCTGTGCGTGTGTACCTGTGTGTGTGCGTACCTGTGTGTGTTTGCGTACCTGTGTGTGTGTACCAATAACAACGGAGGGCGGAGGAGCGACGCTCACAACAACGAGCGGAGCGCCGGGTGGCTAAAGCACAGCAAGTTGGCACAGTAGGGGGCACAGGTGGTGATCAGCCAGTCATCTCGGTCATCTCAGTCAGTCGACCCGTGGCACCTGCTGGGTCTGCCCTGTGACCTGCCAGCGGGCGTTCGACACTTCACGTGGCCTCAAGGTGCACATAGCCTGGCACAAGCGTCGTGGTGACGTCACCGAAATCGAGTGGCGAAAGGCGGTTGTTGTGTGTGTACCTGTGTGTGTGCGTGTACCTGTGTATGTACCTGTGTGGGGAGCGATAGTTGTTAGCGCTACGAACCCAGCGACCCGAGTTCGATTCCCGCTCACGGACAAGACCAGTGACGATTATCTGAACCGGTCCAGGGCCTCCCCTAGGTCGACTCGGCCTCAAATGAGTACCTGGTGCGGTGTGTAAACATCGCCACTGGGGAGACGAAGGCGGTCGGGCGTGGTGCTGGCCACCCACCCCCTCGTGTGCCGTTCCGGCCTTCATAGGTGCTCGCTAACAGCACTTGCCCCTACAGTGTCAAAGCTATACGGGGGATCTTTGTATCTGTGCGTGTAACGTGAACGTGTGTGTATCTGTGTGTGTGTAACACGTAAACGTGTGTGTGTGTGTACGTATGTGTGTAACGATGTGTGGAAGCTACCTAATCTGTCGCTCCAGACGAAGCTTTTTAGGTCTTTTCGGCCATAGTCATGCCCTCCCTTCTCTAAGCTTGTGAAACGTGGACCCCCTTCATAGAACATCTTCGCCGGTTAGAAACATTGAGGCTGGCCTGCCTACAATCCATTCTGGGTTTAACCAGTCGGGATTGTGTGAGGAGCTCACAAATCCTTGAAAGATCTTGGTCAAGTCCCATCGGTGAGCTCCAACGGCAGGCAAGGCTGCGTTGGCTGGGTCATGTAGCCCGCATACCCAGCCACCGCATGCCGAAACAGCTTTTATTTGGCCGCATAGAGGATGCTAAACTGGCGCGGTACGGGCTAGATAAGACATGGAGTGGATGTGGAGCTGAGTGGACTTGCTGAAGACCGGTATCAGCGGTGTCAAAATCGGCCTCTATGAAGGAGGCTCGTGAAGGACGCTACTGGGCGGTTGGAGGCAGTCGTCCTCCAACAACAACGGAAGGCAGAGGAGCGACGCTCACAACAACGAGCGGAGCGCCGGGTGACTAAAGCACAGTAAGTTGGCACAGTAGGGGGCATAGGTGGTGCATCAGCCAGTCATCTCGGTCATCTCAGTCGACCTGCGGCATCTGGGTATGCCCCGTGACCTCCTGCCAGCGGGCGTTCGACACTTCACGTGGCCTCAAGGTGCACATAGCCTGGCACAAGCGTCGTGGCGGTTGTTGTGTGAGTGTGAGTCGGCACACGCGGCACAACAACCTCTTGCACGGCAGCGAGGAGGCGTGGCGTCGGGAGTTGTCGATGGACGAACACTTGCTGGTGAATCTTGATTTGAAGCTTTCGTGACTGCAAGAATCCATACTCTTTGGTTCTTTCGGTAAAGTCACGTAGGTAGAAAATAAAATAAATCACGACGTTTCGATTGCAACACAAGCATCATCATCAGGTGGGAAAACCACAGCAAGAAACAATTTTTTGCTGTGGTTTTCCCACGTGATGATGATTGCTTGTGTGGCAATCCAAATGTCGCGAATTATTTTATTTTATACCTACGTGACTTTACCGAAAGAACCAAAGAGTATAGTAATAGGTTTTTACCCTTTCAACTTGTACAAAACTGACACCTTTATACAAGGCATCATCTTTGCAATGACCACAACACAAGCAGTCAAAATGCAAACAAAAAGAAACAACTCTGATAATGATAATGATATGCACTGTCCTTGAAGTTGATTGGTCCACACCCGAGACAGCTTTTCTTAGAGCCTAGTCTCCATTGGTGTTGGACCAGATGACGCCAAAAGGCGTACAACTCAAAAACAGCGCACTATCAGAGTATTGAGAGCTCGGGGTAAGCATTTACACTATGAGACCTCATAGTGTAAATGCTTACCCCGAGCTCTCTATTATAATACAATTCTATTGTATTATATTATATTACTAGTATTATATTATATATTATATCACTAGTATTATATTATATATTGTATTACTATAGTATTATATTATAGTGTATTATATTATAATGTGTTATTATAGTATTATATTATAATGTATTACTTTAGTATTATATTATAATGTATTATTATATTATAGTGTAATATTATATTATATCAGGGCCTGGGTCGCCACGTTTGGCGAGATGTTAACTGCCTCGCCTGGTACACAGGAGGTCGTTGGTTCGACGCCGACCCTGACGCCTGCTGCTGTTTATTTGGAGTCTGCGTGCCTCTCTCCCCGTGGTCGCGGGGATTTTTCTCTGGGTCCTCCGGGTTTATCCTTCCACGTTTTGAAACAACATCACTACGCGTTTAGAGTATTTGGCTGCTATACATTTCCACACGATGAGCCACTTCGTTGAGCTATCGTCTGTGATGGACAGGTCGCTTTTGAAAAATAGCTACATCGATCGGCTCAGTGGGCCTTACCTGGTAAAATAGAAATATTTTTGTAATAGTTTAAACTGTTAACGATGCTGCTGCTGCTGCTAATGTGACGGGGACGTTTTGAGTGGCAGATGTGTGCCAGATAGGCGCTCGCGTCATTAAACCAAAAATAAAATCGACTCGATTCGGCTAACACCTCCACCGTGGTGCAGCTTGCACTGCCGTTGTTGCATCAGCTACTACTGCTGCTACTGCTCCTGCTGCTGCTGTTACTACTGCTCCTACTGCTGCTAGTGCTGCTGCTTCTGTTGCTGCTCCTGCTGATCCTGCTGCTGCTACTCCTGCTGCTGCTCCGACTGCTGCTGCTGCTTCTGTTGCTGCTACTACTGCTGCTTATCCTGCTGCTTCTGTTGCTGCTGGTAGTACTACTCCTGCTGCTACTGATGCTGCCTCTGTTGCTGCTACTTCTGCTGCTCCTGCTGCTGCTACTTCTACTGCTGCTCCTGTTGCTGCCCCTGCTGCTTCTGTTGCTACTGCTGATGCTGCCAGCAGTCCAGCACAGCAGCAGCCTCTGTGACATCAGTGCCCAAATAAGGATCGGCACGCGAGGCATTTCCCTGTCTTGGTGGAGGGGGGAGGGAGGCGATGCGAGGGGAGGACGTGGGGAGTTGAGGTGGGGGGAGAGGAGGTGGGGGGAGTGGGGGTGGGGGGAGTGGAGGTGGGGGGAGTGGGGGTGGGGGGAGTGGGGGTGGGGGGAGTGGAGGTGGGGGGAGTGGGGGTGGGGGGAGTGGAGAGGGGAGGGATGAGAAGGAGGGGGGCGAGTGAGAGAGAAAAGTTTGTAAGTGAAACTCGGTTGCATGTCGTGCCATTTGCACAAATCAAGTTTCATCACCACCAACAACAAAAACCCCTTCGCATTAAAACAAAGAGGAAAAATCAAACCCCCATACACGGACGGATACGCAAGAGGAAAATGAATAAATTGTTGATTTCTCGACGAGCCCTAAAAACGTCGTCTGACGGAGCTTTCCCGAACGGACCCGGGGCGAGACGTTGGACAAGCGATGCGCTTGGCTCCTCCTGAACGCTTTCGATCATCCACCCACTTGGACGCAGCCTCTGGTTGTCCTCGCCCCCATTTTAGGCATCCAAGTTGGCGGACAGGGGCTCACCGTACGGTGTCAGTAGAAATCCCGAGATATAATGGAGCTTCCTGTTATGAAGCTTAATAACCCTCCCATGGCCCTGGAGGCCGAGAGAATAACTTTAAATTGGATCGTGCATTTTACTGGAAGCCAATGCAGGGACACGAGGACGAGACGTGATGCGCTCACATTTCCTCACTGCACAGAGAGGTGGTCGAGAGAGTGAAGGACGCTGCAGCCGCCACCCTCTCGTCATCCATGCCACAGATGCCCTCCCTCCCTCTCCCTCCATCCCCTCTCTATCACCTCCCTCCCCCATTCCCTCCCCTCCCACCTCCTCCCTCCATCCCCTCTCTATCACCTCCCTCCCCCATTCCCTCCCCTCCCACATCCTCCCTCCAACCTCCTCCCTCCCACCACCTCCCACCTCCCTCCCCTCTCTATCAATAAACCCGAGTTCACTCCGGTGGGCGCGCGCTCACGCATGGAATGTCTGGGTTTCACTTGGCCGGCTGCAATGCAGCAAGCTACGATTTGTGCTGTCTGTCTGTCTGTCCGTTTGTGACAGTCCCCGTTGATTCTCATTTTTTTTTACGTTAATAAACACACCGGTTTGATGAGACAAATTAAGCTGTACTCACGTGCCCTTGCTCAATTTGTGTTGTCGATGATTTACCTTCTACAAAAACTGATCTGCCCGTGTCTCGCACCCCCAGAAAGGGTTAAGAACCACTGCCCGTAGGTTCGACTCGGGCTGAATGAGTTCCTGGCTTACAGAGATATTTACGATTTGTGTTTTAAAGAGCTGATATTTGGCACCGAGTCCCCTAGGTCGACTCCGACTTAAATAGGTTGCCTTGTGCGGTGTATCAAGGTCAGCATTAGGCCCGAGTGTGCTGCTGGCCACACCACCCCCACAAGTCGTGCTGCCCTTAATAGGCGCTC